TGTCTGTCTGTCTGTCTGTCTGTCTGTCTGTCTGTCTGTCTGTCTGTAAACACCAGCAAAGTAATGATCTGCATGAGGCAAGAAGACAATCCCATTCAACAAGACTCAATGGCCGCTGTCAGTTCAAACTTACAGTCTGACACTGGGCAGTTTATTTGGGGCATCTTTTAAGTACAGTACAATTTTGGAAAAAAGTTTCCTAATAACAACTCAGTCTTGTGCAAAATAACATTTAGGCATGACTACATTGAAACTTTTGCAAAGTACATGTGACCTCGTCCATAAATATGGGCTCTATATCTTAAGGGCCTAGGGATCGATCTGGTGTGGTCTAGGTCATACAGACAGCACAGAGGGTACCATGTATATATAAAAGCACATGTGACATCTCCCATAAAGATGGTGATTTGATGAATACTTAGTGACCAATTATTCAAATCAATGAGCCTATGCAAGCCATTCTCTTTCAAACCACCACAGATTCTGTTGAGTGACAAACAATGCTCAAGGTAAAGATCTGGGGAGGTATAACTGAGTCAGATGTGGCCTAGGCCTGTAGATAGGTCACCAGGCTGTTAATCCATTCCCAACCTTCTGGGTAGAAAACAGGTTGTGTCTCTCTTCTCTTGAAGAGACATTCCTGCTTGTTTAATATCCCTGGTTTCCGTAGTACTTATCTGAGTACAAGGACCCTGTGCCTTCTACACTGTATGTACCTCTGTTGGATCAGTTTGACAAGATACCAATTACTTGTTTATAATTCTTTATGGATTTAACTCTTCATTCGCCTTTTTTTGTTTTTGGTTTCTGTTTTTCGAGACAGGGTTTCTCTGTGTAGCTTTGGAGCCTATCCTGGCTCTGGAGACCAGGCTGGCCTCGAACTCACAGAGATCTGCCTGCCTCTGCCTCCCGAGTGCTGGGATTAAAGGCGTGCACCACCAACACCCGGCTAGCCTTTTACTGAGTTTGTTCTTTGATAATTTCACACCTGTATGACATGCATTCTGGTTATCAGAATCTCACTTCTCTAATCTCCCACCCATAATACTTCTCTCCCTTCCCAAAATCCCATTCATGATTTTGTTATCCTTTTGGTTTTGTTTGTTTTGTTCTTGAGAGCCACCAATTTTAACCAGGATCACCTATGGGACCATCGGTTTGGAACTGTCTTCTGGAGCCTCAAAGCTCCTCAGTGAATACACAACTCAAGAGTGCCCTTCCCCTAGACTGCATCAGTAGTAGTTCATCAGGGAAGGGAAGGGCCCCAAGTCTTATGCGGCTCATTGTAGACAGCCGTAGTTGCTCTGAGGTTATGTCCACATTGGTTGTGCCATGATCAGAAAATAGCATTTCACAGCCCTTCTCTCTGTCTTCTGGCCCTTGACTTCTTTCTGCCTTCCCTTCCTCCCTGTTTCCCGAGTCTCAGAGGCAGTGATGTAAATGTCCTGTTGAGGAATGAGTACTTATTCATCACTTTTCTTAGCCCCTTGAGCAGCCGTGGCCTCTGCATTCACCACTGTTTGCTGCAAAGAGAGGTGCTCTTATTAAGGCTGGGAGTAGCATAGCTTTATGAGTATAAACATAAATACTTAGAAGGCAGCTTGGCACCATGACATTTTAGCTAAATAACAGTATTAAGTTCACCCCTCTGCTGTGGTTTATTTTTATTTTTTATTTTATGTGTATGCTTATTTTGCCTGCATGTATATTAGAGGATTTTGGATTTTGGATCACCTGGAAATAGAGATAGGATGTTTGTGAGCCACTGTGTGGGTGCAAGGATATAGTCATGGGTCCTCTGCAAGAGCAACAAGTGCTCTTAACCCTTGAGCCATCTCCAGTGCCATCAGCCATGGATTTTTAACCAGGTTTAAAATATCAAGTATGAATTCCCTTCTTGTGGAGCTGGCTCAAATGCAGTCAAAGAGCAGTTGCTATCCCTGAAACAGACAAGCCACCGTTACACCAGTGGATTCATCTTACCTGGCAGGTTGATGTTGCAGACTGCTCTGGGACTTATTCGGACAAGGACTTGTGCTTCTTGTCAGTGCCTAATGGATGTAGAAGACTTGTAATGTAAAGAGTGAATGAGGGATTTAGTGATAGCAGGTTAGAAGTAAGCTGAGTGTCCAGGAGAAATAGCAGTTTCTGCTTCGTCTTTGCACCTCAGTCTTTACTTCAGTATATTTCCTGGTACAAGTCAAGTGTGTTGGATCATCTTTAAACTTGTTTTTGCTCTTTCTTTTTGTTCAAATAGTGTCTGCGGATCATCATTGCCTAAAAAAAAAAGTCTATGCTTTGGGCTGTGATATTAAAGGTCTTCCACAGTTGATCCTTAACTCTCTTTTTTATTTATTTCTTCCCCTTCTCCCTCCCTCCATCTTTTCATTCCTCCCCTTTTTTGTTTTGGAGGGGGAAGTCCTAGGATTGAACCCAGTGCTTTTACACTAAGCAACACCCTAGCCCAATTCTTCCATTGCTTTGCTTCATTCTTCCAGCGAGACCTGATTGTTTATTTGTGATTTTAAGATTTTCTTAGATAGGGGCTAGAAAGATGACTAGAAGTTCAGAGTGCTTGACCCAGGTTTGGTTCCTAGCACCCATATGGTGGTTCACAATTGTCTTTAAGTACATTTCCAAGGCATTTGACATGATCTTCTGGTCTCTTTGGCATTAGGCATGTATGCAGTGCATATACTTACATGCAAGCAAGACACCCATCTCTCTAAATTCAATCTTTAAAAAAAACAAGAGTTGTTAGATAAATGAAATCTTTTCAGGCAGACAAAGTAGTGCGCTACTAGAGGCTAAAAATCCGTAGAAATAATAAGAATTAGAAGATCATTATTTAGTTAATATAATTAGGAGAAGTTTTAGTAGTATTTTATGGTACAAGTTCATAAACTAAATATGTGGGGTTACTTTGACAATCTTTTCTTACAGGATTACAAATAGGAGCAAAAGATAAACATTAGTTGAAATAAATTTAATGTTTTATGCAGTAAGAATGGACATGTCTTTAGGTTTTTTCCTTATATATGAAAGTAATATGCAATCTAAGTCATTTTAATTTTTTTTTCTTTTAGGAATCAAGGAAGGACTGAGGTGAGTTATTTATATGAAAATTTTATTGATATTATGAGCTGTGCCTGGTATTCCTGTAATTCCAGCACTTGGGAGGAAGGGGCAGGTGGATCAGGAGTCCAAGGACATCTTCTGCTAACTTAGTAAGTTCCAGGCCAGCCTAGGCTACCTCAGATTCTGTTTCACAACAACAAGCCACAGGGAGAGCATTTAATCATCAATAATAGTTGTTTGCATTCTGGAAAACTCTAATTGAAATGAATGTCTGGTTGGTCAGGAATACATAAAGGTATAAATGCTACTTGGATGAATGAGTGGACTCTTTTAATTCAGTCTGAGCATTTTTCTTCTTTGCCCTAACATTGTGAAACAGAATATGGCTTTAGTAAAACTTCAGCATTACTTCTGTGGGACAGAGACATTTGATGTGGAATTTTAAGAATGTTAGATTTTAAACTATTGAGTATGAGTTGTACTGTGTATGTGGTACCTATCCCATACACATACCTATCACATACATGGTACAAATTATAAATAGTAGCTGTATAGTTAGTAATTCATGGTCTTCCTATATGGTTAGACAGCCAATGATTTTATAAATATTTTTAATACATAATATGCTCTTTCAGGGAGAGATGGCATATGATAAATCATTTGGAAAGAATACCTTTATTCTATACCATATGACTGAATTATTCTTCAAAATGGAATATTTTAAAGTATTTAAAATAAAATAGTAGCATATATTCATGCATAGTTGTTAAACCTAAAAATGAAATTTGTCCTGTGCATAGTGTTTAAGCTTTTTAGAATAACTAGCTTGGCCCTTACCCTTTTCAGATACTATTAAAATACTCATTCAACAAATGCTAGGTCTTAGGGACTGTGTTAGTAAAAAAGTAATGTCGGTCGAGTTCTGGAAAGACTTCTAAAACCACAGACCAGAGAAGACATTGGTAGACAAGCTCCATTATTCTGACACATAGGAAATAACTCTTCTGTTTATAGCTTAAGAATTAAGGATTTCAGGGTGACATTTAAGAAATAAATGTTTAAGAGACTCAACTCACATCTTTTAAAAGTTTAAAAATTAATTTACAATCAAAATGTCTGTGTAGATACTTTGAATATAAATTTCTATTTTAATAAGCATTTTAATTTGTCCACTAGGTATCGTTTACTTTAAACGAGGATCTTGCAAATATTCATGATATTGGTGGGAAACCAGCTTCAGTCAGTGCTCCTAGAGAGCATCCATTTGTCTTGCAAAGTGTTGGAGGACAGACGTTAACAGTATTTACCGAGAGCTCCTCAGGTAAGGGGGACCAGAATTAATGTCCTACAATTCCAGTATATCTGTCTCTTCCTGCATCCCTGTTTGTTTAAGGTTGTTACTACCTATTGTTTTGTCTACTTGTGTGTCTCATGCCATGCAGTCTTTCTGCTCCTGTATTTTTCTTGTGATGAATGAAATTTGACCATTACCTGAGAAGAGATTCATACTCATTTGGCTATGACCGTATAGAACAAAGTAGATGGAAGAGTGTGGAGTTGAGCCACTTGAGATTCTGAGTCTTGCCAAGCTAAGGCAGCCCTGGCTTGCCTTGCTGAATTGACACAGGGCAAATGCAAGTTACGGTTTATACAATGCTTACTTTAGGAAATGGGTTTGTTTGCATTTTTGTGCTTGTGTGCTTTGTGTTTTGAGAAACCTTTATATTTTATAAAGATTAACTTTGATTGGCATTAGCTTGCAGAATGAATGAAGTATAGTTTTGAAATTGTGTGTGATAGCAGTGTGACATTTTAACAGTTCAGTAAGCCTGGAGCAGTTGGTTCAGTTTGTGAATTAAATGTGGAAGAAAACTTGCTGGCTTGTTTTCATTAGTTTCTTACCTTCATCTTTCATTGAATTTACAACATTGCTGTTAAAGCAGCACTCCCTCTTCATTCAGTAGAATTAATTTTCTCATTTCAAAAAGTTAGATTATGTATGAGAAAAAATTATTGTAGTTCAAGCATTTTAAAGCAAACTACAAGACATTATGTATGCCAAGAATGTTGCTGCTTTTTAAAAAAGCCTCACGAAGCATTTTTTGTCAAAGCTTGAATTTTAGTAACTGTGTGAACTGATGATCTATTAGATTTGTAGTAGGTCTGTTAGAATTCCAGTAGCTGTATAGTCTTTCTTTTTCCCTTGATGGAGAATCTAAAATGATGATGACATGAGGCCAGAGCTAAAGGATTGATTTTACTTTTATTATTCTGTTGCTGCACTAATTTGTTGTGTAGTGTGTTCAGGGAGGTAGAAGATAGACTTTTATGTTGGAGAAGGTTCAGCTAGTCAATAGCCATTTATAATGAGTTCCACTGTTCAGGGCGCAGTGCATGTACAAACAAGCAGTCTGCAGTTAGTCTTTGGAATGATAGGACTGAAGGCTGTTGACCCTGTGAGGCTGCTCTACTTCTGTGACTGAGCAAGGCAGAGGCAGAGTTTCAAGAGAGGCTCAAACTTGCCTAGTGGAAAAAAATATCTTTGTTCTATTTTTTTATAACTATGTGACTAGTTTTTTCAAAGAATGCTTTAGCTCTGTGATTTAGAAAACTAACATATGTTGTCCTCAAAAATTGTTCTTTAGTTTTCATCTTTTAAATTCTTCAGTGTAGTCTTGGTGAACATTTTGTGTTCCTGTTTCTGGTAACAAGTGTGCTCCCAGTGGTTCTGGTTTTGGGCTTATCTTGGCACAGGGTACAGAAAGGATACAGACTGTCCTACTGTTGTGTCAGCCTGTGTGTCTTATTTCATGCAGTTATTTTGTTCTTGTATTTTTCTTGTGGTGCATGAAAATTAGACCATTACCTGAGAAGAACTTAATTCCCATTTGGATATGAATTTATAGAACAAAATACATGGAAGATTGTTTGGACAGTGTGTTCTTGCATTGCAGAAGTGGAGGAACTTTTTGTAGTCAGAAACTTACATTGTAGATGGGATTTTTGTTTGTTTCCTTTCCTGTTTATTTTCTTTTGCAAGTCATTGCCCTTGACTTTCTTTGTACCTACTTGTCCTTTAAGTTCTTCCTTTGTGAAATCTGGATAATTATTTGTACTTAAATTATAAATGTATTCAAATGCTTAGAACAGTGCTTAGATCCACTACTTAACATCACCAGAAAGGTGGATCTTTGGAGCTTGCTGGCTGTTTGGCTGAATCTGTGAGCTCTAGGTTTGGTGAGAAACCTGTCTCAAAAAATAAGCTGTAGGGTGATGAAGAAAGACACCTCACATCAGCCTCTGGTCTCCACACCCATGCATACATTGTGCCTGTGGGCCTACACCTCGAATCACACACACATACACCATATGGAAAAATAATTGAGGAAGATAACCCATGTTAGCCTTTGCCCTTCAAACACACATCTACACACATGTATGTGAACACATACACAGATAAATGTTTTTTAAAAAATATTCTAAGCTCTAGTTTAGATAATATACCCGTCTGTAAAAATGTGGACTTTTATAAGAAAATTACAGTGTTTTTTTAAGTTCAGTATGTATAGAGCTTTAGTTTTAATAACTATTCCTTCTGTTAATTTAATTTTGTTGGTTTTTGAGACTTTCTTTGAGCTATCTTTGAGTTTTACAGATTGGAATGTCTGTGGGAGATGGAATTAGTAAAACTAACCATATACTTTATAATGCTATCCCCTAATAAAAACTGTTTTCATAGCATTAACGTTTTATCAGCCTAATTAATTTGTTCATGAGTGAATAACTGTCTTGTTTGGTTCTATGTCTGCATTTCTATGTGAACTTCTGGAAGGTTAATTTCCCAACTCAGCGGTTTGTGGGGATCTCTAGTGTCTTTTTATCTCTATCTCTGGAAATGTCTCATGTACTTTCCCTTTGTAACCCTTCATTTTGTGTGTTCAGTTTATTTTAAATTACATTTATTTTTTGTCTATGTGTGTAGGCATGCAAAAATGTGTGTGTGTGTGTGTGTGTGTGTGTGTGTGTGTGTGTGTTGTAGCTCAGAGGATAGCTTGTGGGAGTTGGTTTTCTGTTTCTACCATGTGAGTCCCAGATTTAAGCTCAGGTTGCTATGATTGGGGCAGTTCCCCTCACCCACTGAGCCATCTTTTTTTTTTTCTTGAGGCAGGGTTTCTGTGTGGTTTTGGAGGCTGTCCTGGAACTAGCTCTTGTAGACCAGGCTGATCTCAAACTCACAGAGATCTGCCTGTCTCTGCCTCCCAAGTGCTGGGACTAAAGGCGTGTGCCACCACAACTCAGCCCACTGAGCATCTTTTGCCCAAATTTTCTTTATAACTGCCAATCCTGGACAAAGTCTTCATTTATCTGTTGCACAAATTTTCTAATGCCAGGTCCTGTGCTAGAACAGGACCAGATTCCTGTCCACTGGGGCAGCCAATGTTTGGTAACAATTGCTGCAGTGAGTCCTTGAATGGGCTCAGTAGAGAGAAAAGCATGTACTTTGCCTGAAGGTATTGGGAATGTCTTCAGAAGTGCTGAGATTTGGAGTCCTTGGAGTACATGAATAATTGCATGAATAGGAGAGAAGGAAACAAAGATAACATTCGTTTTCTGAATGTTGACTTGTTGCTGACCAGTCTTCCTTCGGCCTTCATTTCACCTGTTTATCATTTTGCTCTGCCTAATGGATCTAGAAGAGAGTCCCAGTTAAAACAGAGAAGCTCAGCTGTGAAAAGTTTGAGCTGGTGCAGTTGGAATAGAAACTGGGATTGTGTTCTAGAAATGGCAGAGATTGTACTGACAGCCTCCGATGATGTGAGGGGATCAGAAGCTAAGAGCTTAGAGTGGTTTCCAGGGTGGGGCATGACCATCCAGATGGTGGTGAAACTGGGTTAGGAGATTCTAAAAGTGACAGGCTTCTTTGCTCTGATTCTTTCTTTTTAATCATTTGGTAGCAGCTCATAAATTCAGTAGGCTGATATCACTGCCTACTTTGTGCTTAGGAAACTTGAGTGAGCAAAGTCTCATCCTTTGAAGTACTTGCTCCTCCTGTTAGAGGAGACAGCGGCAGTGAATATAAACAAGTGAACTATATCTCCAACTACAGGGTGTCTGGGGAAATGGGGTTAGGTGTATACACTGGTTGGTTTTTGTCAACTTGACATAAACTATAGTCACTTAGCAAGAGGGGACTTCACTTGTGGGATTGTCTTCATCAGATTGGCTCCTGGGCATGTCTGTGGGGGCATTTCCTTGATTAATGCTTGATGTGTGCTGGCCCAGTCCACTGGGTAGTGCCACCTATAGACAGGTGGTCCTTGGTTGCAGAAAGAAGCAAGAACCAGGAAGGAAGGAAGGAAGGAAGGAAGGAAGGAAGGAAGGAAGGAAGGAAGGAAGGAAGGAAGGAAGGAAGGAAGATGTCTCCATGGATCTTTCCCTGACTTCCCAGTGATGGACTGGGGTTGTGAAAGTGTAAGCCAAATAAACCCTTTCCTCCCTAACTTGCGTTTTGGTCATGGTGTTTATCACAGAAACAAAGCCAACTAGAACCAGAGAGTGGGACATTGCTGTGATGGGTAAGACCTTCTTCTTTGGGGAGAATTGTGAAGGTGTTAGGAACTTTGGGCTGGAAAAGCTGTTGAGTGCTTTGAGTTTAAAGAGCTGTTAGGGGAGCTTTTAATGTTGAGAATAGTACACACGATGGAGGCCTGACTTGTAAAGAAGTTTCAGAGGGAAGCAAAGACTATCAGCTGTTTATGTGATATTTTTGCATTGAGAATCTGGAAATGAAACCTTTGCTTAACTGCAACAGAAGAATTAGCTATGATTAATTAGAGACTAGCATCGTTGAGTGAAATCTTCTGGGAAGCATTTCCTCAGGGTCAGCACAGAGATACTGTGGTCTAGAGAGGGCCAAGGCTGCACATCAAGTAGGCAGCAGAACTTGGTAATGTGTGAGTCTCCCATGTGGTACTTAGGGTTTTAGTGGCATGAAAGCTGCAGGATTGAAGCAATTATGAGAGGAGCTGAAGGCAGCACCACCAGTCTGCTGTTAGCCAGCCAGATGCTTTCAGGCCAGAGAGGAACATTTAACCACAAATGTCAGGGACATTTGTGAGAGCCAGTCTGCCATGTCCAGGGAGTAGCAGGAAGGTGAGGAGTAGATGAGTCTAAGGGAAGAGTCTAAGTGTGTTCTTAGGCTGAGGAGCAGGGATTCAGAAGCCCTTGTGTAGATTTTGGGGTGTGCTTAGTGGAATGAGATGCTGTGTATTTATCAGGTGAATCAGTTTGCCTTGTAAAGGCTCATTCTGACAGCTTGAG